AGGTCCACAGATGGTCTGCTGCATTTTTAAAGGAGAGTTGGAAGAGCAGGTAGAAAAGAAGCAACATGGAGAGTTTGTGAAGGCAGAGTCCTGGGGCCAGAGCAGAGAAAACAGGCTCAGGGCTGGAAGTTCATCTGGCAACCTGTTGATTACTGGTTGTCAAAAGAAGACGGGCACACAGTGATTCTCTGGTTTCCGGTTTCAATGACAGAGTGGCCTGTTCGGATGGCAGAAGGAAGGATCACAGAGGGGAAAGGGTGAGCTCAAACAAGCCACGCCAGGACCCCATCCCGAGGGCAGCTGCTCTGGAAACTGCATCTTCAGGAGGAGCGCTGCTTTCCATTTCTTGCTGTGCTTCTGTTTTGCAGTGCTTTTGGGCAGAACACAGGGCTTTGTGCACACCAGGCAAATCCACCAGCAAGCCACATCGCCAACCCTTTTAAACTTTGTTTGTTTGAGTTTTTTTTTTCTCTTATTTTGAGACAGGAGCTCATCAAGAGCTTCCTGCTTTTCTTGTACTGTATGTTTAAATCCATACAACTGCCTGGTAAGCTGGGTGGTAGGTTCTGGGTGCCTCAGCTTCCCCTATCACCCTGAATTCCTCCCAGGATGTGTTGATGAAGATTTGCTCAGCTGCAGGGGGACAGAAAGCCCTCATGTATTTCTTTATTTTGGTGGTGCTAGGGATCAAACCTAGAACTCCACTCGCTAGGCAGGACCCAGCCAGTCCCTAATTGAAACAAACTCAAGGGTGGAGGGTGGTGATTCACCCAAGGAAAAGACAGGTGCGCAACCCTCTCTCTCCATGCAGGGCAGTGACTTGGTCGTGAGTGACACAGCGGCCCTCTGCAGTGTGCTGTGTTGCTGAGCTGTGACATGGGTGAGGTGGGCTCCACGCAGGTTTGACCCATAATGTTTTCAACTAAACAATGGGCTTGTTGGGAAATAACCCACAGTAAGTCAAGGAGCAGCTATCCTGCCCAGGGTGCCCAAACGGCTTCCATGTATGCAAGTGGAACCATGGGCACGATGACTAGACGTTAGGATGGTCCTGGGAAAGCCAATAGTCCGGAAGCAGAGGCTGACCCTTCAGGCCACAGCCCCACACCTGGCGGTGCAGCCCACTCCCAGGATCATGCGATCCAGCACCGTTCCTCATGCCTTGATCTTATCATGAAGGCATGTAAGTCCAGCTTCAAGCCAAGGGTACCCAGAGAGACAGCCCCAAACTGTCAGAATACATCTCCTCTAGAGTTAGTCTGACTTGTCGGTCACCTGCTTGGCTGATTCTGACCCCTGGAAGTAAGTTCCCTGAAAATGGAGGTTTTTATCTTTTGAGTGCGCTGTCCCATCCTCCCTGCCCAGAGCAGGACCTGGGGCCCACTCAGTGCTCAATAACTATGGGTTGAAACAGTGACAAAAGAGCTGGCCATGGTGGCACACACCTGTAAACCCAGCCATGGTGAGGGGCTGAAGCAGGAGGATTTCAGCGAGTTGAGGCCAGCCTGGGCTACATAGCAAGACCTTGTTGGAGAAAGGGGAAGGAGGGGTGAGGGAGAGGTGAGGGAGAAACGGCAGGAATGAGCAAATGAACCAACAATTTTTTATTTCATAACTAGCAGAAATTTTGATAAAAGTTAATGATGCCAAATTCTGATAGATGTGGTTCATGTTTCTGGGCTATTTGGTTTTTTTGTTTTTGTTTTTGTTTTTGTGTCACTATGTAGTCCAGGCTGGCCTTGAACTCTCTGTGTAGTCCAGGCTGGCCTTGAATTTGTGTTGATCCTCCTGCCTCAGCCTCCTGAGTGCTGGGATTACAGGCATGTGCCACCACTCTCAGCTGTTTCTTTCATTTTCAGGCAGACACACAGGTTTTGAGAGACTTCCAGGATAACCTAGGTGGTGTGAATTAGCCTCCATCTCAGTGGCAACCTGGCTGTGTCAAAGTCCATATTTATCCTGCAGCACCTCCCTGTCTCCCTCATGGTGTACAAGTGAGGAAACCACTTCGCTCTGCGGGCTGAGTCCCCAAGTCTAGGAAAGTCCTAGATGATTTCTTAGATTTCTGCCATTTTAAAATTCTATCATTCTGGGAGCCTTTTTTTTTTCTCTAACCGCTATTTATTTATTTATTTATTTGCCTTTTTGAGACAGGGTGTCGCTATGCAGTTCAGGCTGAACTTGAGCTCACTTTGTAGCCCAGGCTGGCCTCGATCTCACAACGATCCTCCTGCCTCAGCCTCCCAAGTGCTGGTATTACAGGCGTGCACCACCACACCCAGCTTCTAGCTTCTATTTAAAAAAAAAAAAAATACTGTAGCTATAAAAAGTAATAAAATAATAAGATTTAATTTGTACTTGTAACTGCACAGCTGTTTCAAAATCTGATTCAGGACTATCATACCTTCCCATGATAGCTCACACTGTGTTTCCCACTGCAGTGTGTACTTTATCTGTGCTCTTACCCTCTTTTTCTCTTTACTTGGAGCAAGCGCGCTCTGCAGAGCCAGTTTCTCTTCCACTCTTCACTTTTACTTTCTCAATAAACTTTGCCACTGCTTTTTTTGGGTTTCCTCCAATTCTTTGTTCAAGAGGAGAAAAACCCAGAATCTAACTCCAGAAGGAGAGACAAGGAGCCCAGAGCCCCGTCATTTAGTTGGTGAGCCACTTTTTGTTTGGTTTTTTTTTTGGTTTGGTTTGGTTTTTTGTTTTTTTCTGGTATCAGGAATCGAACTCATGACCTTGCGCTTGCCAGGCAGGCGCTGTGCTACTGAGCTAAATCTCCAGCCCTGGTGAGCCACTTTTTGGAAACAGCTACCCGATAACAACGTCAGAATCTCATCCAAAACCATTTTCAGAACAGCAGAAACATTCAATTACATCTCTGGGGGTTGGAAAGGCCAAGATCAAAGCCCCAGAAGATTGTGTGTTCGGCAAGGACTATCCTCTTGCTGTACACCTTCCTGGTGGGAAACAGTGACTTGGGACCACATTTCCCAGTGGACAGTTACCAGACGGAGCATGTGACATGAATCACGCGTGAGGTTTCACTTGTGTTACTGCCCCGTGGCCCATCTCACTCATGCGGGTGATGATGGGGCAAACGGGTTCACAACATCATCTAACTACAGGAAGGGAGAGTTTGGTGCATCGCTTTCAGCATGGAACTTTGCAAGCAAATTTCCAAGTTTATATTTAAAAAATGCAAAAGTAACCAAGACAAATTTGAAAAAAGGTATGTGTAATGTTCAATGTCTCATTAGTTCTGGAAGCTTAGAAGCCCAACAGTGTGGGGCCAGCATCTATTCGGCATCTGCTCGGCATCTGGCAAAGGGCTTCTTACTACACTGGAACAGGGTGGAGAGCATCACATGGTGAAGAAGGGGAGACAGTTGTGTGTGTTTAAAGTCTCTGGTATCAAAGAGTGTGATGTATTCATCTTCATATTCCCTCAACCTCTCCTCCCAGCACATGACTCATCACGACATCTGCTTTTCTTTAAATCAGAAATTGAGCTCCTTCAAAAATCACTGAAAGTCTTTTCTCAGCCTATCATACTACTTCTAATAAAAACTCACTGTTTCAGGTCTTATTTGCTCAACTACTTCAATGAGAAAAATCAACATCAACAACAAAACAATGAGCACCTCCCATATGTTAAGCGCTCTCTTGTTAAACAGGCAGAATCTTACTGACTTTAGAGGAAAAGATGACTATGCCTGTCAAATCTGGGAAACTAGCTGATAAATTAAGCAAACTACTCTACATTGTCTGTCAATGAATTATTGGTTATTTTATTTATAAGAAGTTTATCAATATAGAGAAAAAAATCATCCAGAGGAAACCGCATCCATCCATGTAATAGTCTTACGAGGGGTAAGGGCTCAGGCACACTCACCTGACCTAGAGCAGGGGCCACTGATGACTAGCCCAGCTCAGCCGGACCTGGGAGAATTCACATAGACAGATTTAACAAGCTCCAGACCCAGCTGTGACACTTGTGACAACTGGGAGAGATCTGTGGGCTGTGCAGCTGGGGGAATCCTAAGCAAATGAAACCCTAAGCAAACCCTTTCCTACAGAAAGAAGCAGAATAGTTGTAACCTACAGATCAGAACAGCCTCCCCAGAGAAGCTAAAAAGGAGCCAGGCCTTCCGGATGATGACAGCAACAAAAATTTTGGAAATGACCATGAATGGAAAGCTCTGTGTGTCCAAATCAACACAATTGTGATTTGAGCCCACCAGGATTTGATACATTTAGCAAATGATTGTTTTATATGTCTTCTATCATTCAAAGGCTTTGATAAGTGGTGGAAAACCTCGTTACCATATTCTTGAAATGAGAACATTTCATATTTTTAAAAAACATGAATCAGGGGCTAAAAATCCAATATAGGATGACAACTTTTTCCTTTTTTTTTGGAGTGGTACTGGGGATGGGACCCTGAGCCTCCAAAGTGCTAGGTGAGGCTCAACCACTGAGCTGCACTGCCAGCCTGTCCCTTAAGTAAGACCTAGAAACGGGTATCTTGAAAAAGAATGGATCAGTTTTGTTAAGCATAGAACTGCAGAAGAATCCTTGTTACCTTTCATTGTTGTTTCTGACTCAGAGTTTCACTAAGTTTCTAAATTGCCTAGACTGGGCTTTTAGAATTTGTGATCCTCCTGCCTCAGCCTCCCAGAGTATTGGGATTACAGGCATACATCACAAACTTGGCTTGTTACTTTAAAAAAACAAACAAACAAACAGAGAAGCTGGTTGTGGTGCCCCATGGCTGTAATCCCAGCACTATAGGAGGCTGAAATAGGAGGATCACAAACTTGAGCCCAGCCTGGGCAATTTAGTGATTTAGTAATAAGACCATCTCAAAGTAAAAAAATAAATTAAAAAGGACTGGGGATGTGGCTCTGTGCAAAGGCCCTGGGTTCAATTTATAGTACCACTCCAAAAAAAAAAAAAAAAAGAGAACAAGAAAAGAAAGAGAGAAAAAGAAAAGCTACAAGAGGATTTACTATGAGTTTATTTGGAAACAAATGAAAGGAGATACAGCACCTTTTCTAGATATGAAGCTGTTAAGAGCAAAATAAAAATAAATGAAACTGAAATATTTGGCCACCAAGTAGCTAAATAAACCTTTCCAAAATACAAGCAAACTCCTGGTCTTCACTTTATTATATACCTGGAAATTCCTTTGTATGTAAAACATTTGTATTACTCACACATCTGTGTTTAAACACTGCTGTTGAGCAATGGCAAGTGAACTGCATTTCTTCTTCCTGAGACGTTTAGTTTTGGCTCCAATTTTTATTTGTGGCTGTCTAGAAGTAGCTACCTCTGCTGTCACATGAAAATACTTTACACAGAAAGTGTGTATTTGCACATCCTTTTTGAGTTTTATTTTTACTAAAAAGTAGAATTCACACAAGCCAAAGGGGGCAAACATGCAAAATAGCTTTGTGCAGACCTCTAACACACTACATTCCACTTCTGAAATCTCAGCCCCCCGAAAACACCAAGGCAAGAACACGTGGGTTGGGAAGTAAACATCCTAAAGGCTAGATTCCTGACATGAACACTGCAGATACAAGTCACTCAGTGGCAATAAATTCATGTTTATCCACGTTCCTGCCAGCAAGGAGATGCAGAGCTGCAGAGCCAAAGTGTGCCCCTCACCATGAACCATTACAACCTGGAGGTTGCAGGATCCCAGTGATGTGAACTGGAACCCCATCCAGCCTTGATCCCAACACTACGCCAGATGCACAGGAACCACGGGATCCACACTTCAAACTTCCTCCTTTTTCTGCTACTCTTAAACTGGTTTTGTTGTTTTTGTCTTTCTTTTGCAAGGCTGAGGCTCAAACCTAGGGCCTTGCATATGCTAGGGAAGTACCACTGGGCTAAATAAACCCCAAACCCCTAAAACGTAAGAGTCCTTCTGCATCTCCCCAGGCTCTGAGAGGTGAAAAACTCCATCCAACAGAGGACTACAGTGAAGCTTTCCTTTTTTTGAAACGAAGGTCTCATTCTGCTTTCCAGGCTGGCCTCAAACTCACAGCGATCTTCCTGCCTCAGCACCCCCGCCCCAGTGCTGGGATTACAGGCACGGGTCACCCTGCCTGGCTGAGTGAAGCTTTCCTTTAAGATATTTCCTTTTCCTTCTTAAGGTGATTTAATGATCCTATGTGTGTACAAGCACATAAATCCTTCAGAAAGAGATTTTAGACACTTAACTTGAGAAAACTTTTTTTCCCCCTCGAGACCAGTCCTTGATCACTTAATATATTCCTTTTTTGGCGGGGCGGGGGAGGCGGGGAACCTGTGTAGAAACTTTCTGTGTCATCAGCAGGCTCCTTATCCCTGTATATTTGAACTTTCCAAAAACAACAGTAACACGGGTTTCTGGCTCGGGACTGTCCCTCAGGGAGAAGGGACACACTCAGGTAGGGTGCAGCGCCCTGGGAGTCCTTAGCAGGAAGTGTTCTAATGCATTCCTAGAAATCATTTCCAGGGTGCAGAGAGGAAATCCAAAGCAGGAGTGGAGAGCTGGAGGGGACCTGAATACTGTGCTGGCAAGCAGCTTTCCTATGGGCTGCCTGCTGTGGAGCTGTTTTCCTCTTCTTTCCTTTCCTTCATTTTTCTTTTGCCATCCCAGGGCCTCGTACATGCAAGGCAAGTGCTGTACCATGAAGTCGCAGCCTCAGCCCTAACCTCATTTCCTTGTTTTTTTGAAACAGAATCTCACTGTGTAGTTCAGGCTGGCCTTGAACTTACTACCTAGCCCAGGCTGGCCTGAAACTCATGGTGATCTTTCTGCCTTAGCCTCCCAAGTGCTGGAATTACAGATGTGCGCCACCTCAGCTGACTCCCAATGGCATTTTTGTAACAGTGCTTCCTAAAAGGAAAGTGACCATGTTGTCCCCAACCTTGGAAACAAGGCTTCTTGCTTTTTACCATACAGCCCAACCTTGCTTACCTAACCAAACTACCACCTATGTGCTAGAGAAGGCTGAAGGCCTGGTTTATTTCAGTATGGAAGTAGCTGCTACGTCGAGTCAGCCTGTATATTTTCAAAAATCTTGGCCCAAACAGCCAACACGGCCCCCTTTTCCCGCCAGCAGGGAACACGATTGCACAAGGCAGGTATGCAGTCCTGGAAGGGCTCTCAGAAGGGATGGGCAGGCAAGGTCCCGCCAGCCCCTTGCAAGGTTGGCAGACAGGGAGGTTTGGGAGTGTTGGCCTGCTGTGCCGTCCTGTGTCACACTCTGTCCCTCTTCTCTCTGCAAGCCATCAAGCCCGTTTGGGGGAGGGGAGGAGGACAAGGGCAAAAGTGATCAGTGGGATGGGGGTGACACATGCGGGGACACTCATGTTCTGAAAGCAAAACAAAAGCCAGATGTCACCAGGGCCACAGAGGGGCTAAGCAGCCTTCCAGGGACCCTGGATGCTTCAAAGTGAAAGAGGGGCACAGAGGAGCCTTGGCAGGAGCAGCTCAGAGGCTCCCAGAGACATTGCCGCGGACTCCTGGCCCCAGGGACAGCTGAGGTTGTTCCCGCAGTCTTCGCAGAGGTGGCCGCAGGACACTCCAAGCAAGCAGAATACCACTTCCTTTTTTGGTGAGGAAAGCCTGCCGGGGTCTCAGCTAGCCAGCTCTCAGTTGCAGCTCTAAAAATACCCAGCGGCGGGAGTACTGTTTGGCACCGCGTTTTGTTTGCAGGAGCAGCTCGAAGTGCCCTGCACAAGGCGTAGGGCGCTGCGCCCTCTGGGCTCTGTCTCTACCCTGGGGACACGGGCAGCACAGCCCTGGGAAAGCTGCTTTGGCTCGGGACTTCCTGCAGTCCTGCCCTAAGTGACAGAAGTGCAGATGCCGGCCTGGGTGAATTGCGAGCAGGGTTTAGAAGCTGAACTTGGCTTCTAGTCTGAACTAGGCAAATATATGGCCTTGGGACAGAGCAGAGGCTAAAATGATACTCAACAGGGCCCCCTTGCCACCCTTCAGCCCCCCAAAAGAAACATCGCCACCTCAACCCCTGGGTTGCCAGTAGTAGAGTGGCCAGGCCTCGCCCATGCCTTACGCCTGGGCCTACACATTGATGGCATGCGCATGCTTCTTGCACAAGGGCTTGTCCTTCTTGGAGTAGAACGGCTGTCCCTCCAGATTCACATGGCAGACCTGCGATGGAACAGAGTGGGTGAGATAGGAGCAGAGACTCCAGGGATCCCTTGAGAAAAAGCACCACAGGTTGGGGGTAGTGGAGCACACTGGTGATTGCAGTGCTGGGGAGGCTGAGGCAGAAGGATCACTGTGAGCTCAAGGCCACCTGAGCTACATAGTGAGACCCTGTCTCAAAAAATAAAACTAAACAGAAAAAGCACTGTCCTGGGCAGTCAGGAGACCAGGCACCAGCCTTTCTCCCCACAATGAATTCTTTTTCTTTTTTTCCAAGAACCAGGATGTAACCCAGGGCTTCATGCATGCTAACCAAGCACTTTCTCACGAACTATCTCCCTAGCCCTTTTGAGACAGCATCTTGCCAAGTTACCCAGTCTGTCCTCAGACTTGCCATCCTCCTGCCTTCACCTCCTGAGTAGCTGGGATTATAAGTATATATACGACACCATGTTTGGCCCCATGATGAATTTTTTTTTTTTTTTTGAAACAGGGTTTTGCTGTATAGTTCAGGCTGGCCTTTAACTCACTCTGTAGCCCAGGCTGGCCTCAAACCCGTGGCAATCCTCCTGCTTCAGCCTCCTGAATGCTGGGATTACAGGTGTGTGCCACCACATCCAGCCTCCATGATGAATTCTTAATAACTGAAGCAGACTACACAGTTGAACTATCCACACATGAAGACATAGAATAAAATGCAAATGAAATGAACTAAATGCAACAGAATACAGAATGTACAAGAGGAAGGTGTCTAATTCATGCTGCACAATGTGTAGGGAACCAATGCGAGTTCACAAGTCAGTGCTTGTGAGAGGGCTGACATCTGTACAAATGCTAAGCAATAAATGCATCCACACACTTATAATAAACATCAAGCAATTAGTGTGTCCTCACTAATCTGAAAGGATAAATCATGAGGCGCTAAGCTGCGCTGGACACCTATCCTCATAGCAGAGTAAGTAAGACAAAAGGCCTCAGCGTCTTGCCCTCACCTTGCCTGACCCCAAGCCCAGAAGTGGGGGAAAGTTGGTGAGGAAAAGTCAGCGTTGCCCAAAGGGGACAAGACTTACTGTGAATCAGCTTCAGGTCTGCAGGGGATGTGGCAACTCAGAGCAAAAGCCACTGCGCTGTGCCTCCCTGTGACACAGTAGTGCCACGCTGGACAGTTTTATCTTACAGAAGCAGTACTACAGGAAAGGGAGCAGTGTGTGTTCAACCAGGAACAGAACACCACTAAAATTTTTCCCAATACAGAGATGGTTAAATACTTATTCTGGGGTACCAAGGACTGAACTCACAGGTGCTGTATCACTAAGCTACAATCCTCAGCACTTTGCATTTTTTAAAAATTTATTTAGAAACAGGGTTTTGCTAAGTTGTCCAGGCTGTCCTTGAACTTGTGACCCTCCTGCCTCAATCTCCTGAGTAGCTGGGATTGCAAGCATGCGCTACTATGCCTGGATTTAAATAAATTTTTAGGGTGCATCTTTTCAGTGGGATGCCACTATGAAAAAAGATAAATCAAATACAGAGGTATACACAGAGAGGAACAAATACAAAAAAGTGAAAAGTATGTATTCCGCTGATGACAATATATTTTTGCAGTTTCAGGCTGCAGCAGTCCAGATAAAAGGAGAATGGATGACTCTTTGTTGAGGCTACCACAGATCAAGCAGGATGCCTGACACTCTATACCTATGAGCTCATTTAATTCTCATAACCTCATGGGAGAGCTATGCCTTCCTTCCATTTCATCACTGAGAAACTAAGGCTCCGAGCATCCAAGCATCTTGCTGAGGTCACAGACTCCCAGACAGTAGAGCCAGGGACTCTGTTCAGGAATAGGGCAACCAACTCCATGCTAATTACTCCCTTACCCTAGAGCAGGGCTGCGCTGACTTGAAATCATCTGAGCTCACAGACCTGCGGAGCTGGCCCCTGCAATCTGCTGTGCGTCAGAGCTGGCTGGGAAGTCACATCGGTCAGGAGGGGTCCAGCCATACAGAGGATGCTGAGCACCCCCTGGGGAGCAGAGTGGGGGGCCCACATCCAGGATATGGACCCCAGAACAGAAGTGCAGGAGGTCCCGAATGTAGTGCCCACCAGTGGAGAAATCACCCTCTTGGCTGAGCCGGATCAGCGACTGCGGGTCTGCCCCATAAGGGCACCATGATGTCCAGCCTGGGGGGTCAACAGGGCTGCCTATGGGCCGTGGATGCATACCAGAGAAAGTGTCTCACAACACCCCAGGCAGGGACAGCAATGTTGAGATAAGCAGGGGCAATAGCTTGATGCAGCTTGTTTCCTAACAGTCTGTATGCTGCTTTTCAACGTGGTGGGAGGTCCTCCCTCCCTATTTTTCAATAGGGAGGGAGGATCTTGAAAGGGATTAAGGTATTTCTCTTGGAACTCTGGATGTTTTTCTTTTTTTATTTTTATTTTCAAGACAGAGTCTTGCTGTGTAGTTCAGGCTGGCCTTGAACTCACTGTGTAGTCCAGGCTGGCCTTGAACTCAAAATGATCCTCTTGCTTCAGCCTCCCAAAGGCTGGCATTACAGGTGTGTGCCACCACACCTGGCATAGGTAGTTTTGCAAGAAGATTGTTATAAAAGCCTGAGCCTGGTCATGCCTAGCCTCTCTCTTCCTTCCTGTGTGGTGATGAGCTCCTGTGTGTACACACATGATGACATGATGGGACCCTCGGTGGACCCAAGCTAGGGCCAGCACCTGCTCTTGAACCTTAAAAACCATATGCTAAATAAGCCTCTTTTTTACAAAGTTAGTCTGTCCTGGGTATTTTGTTATAGACAGTGAAAAGCTGATTACTCCACCAGGCTCCGGCAGACACCTGCACCTGACAGTGGCGAGTGGGAGATGAAGCAAAAAGGGGGACATCTGAGATCAGACTGGTGGCCACAGGCATCGGAGGAGACAGAGATGCAGCTCTGGGTGAGTTGGCAGGAGCTGCCCATCCACATCTGCAGTGCTGACTGCTCTGGGACAAGGCTGGTGGCCCCAAGACCTTCAGGATGTGTCAGGTGGAGAATGAAGATGGAGGAAGTAGGGACACCAGGCCTCGGAGTGGCGCATGAGTGAGAAAGGGCTGAGGGCAAGAGCATAGGCAAGGGATGGTGCTCCAGGGACGGCAGGGACAGTCCACCCCAGGTTATGGCAGGGCAGCATCAGGCCTGGCTGCATAGGCGTGGTGGCCAGGGACAAGGTGGACCTCAGAGTGAAGGCAATGAGAAAGGCCAGCTCTGACTCCCTAGGATGCCCTAGGGTTACCAACAAAGTGACACCCCACCCCACCCCCCTGGTACCCATGTCACTTCCCCTCCCCCAACAAGACTGAGTGGAAAGGAGAAACTGGCAGGATCCAGAGCTTTTCCACTGGGACACTAGAGCCAAAGCCAGGCAGGAGTCGGATGTGGTGGCACACAGCAGTGATCCCAGGCCTCAGGAGGCTGAGGCAGGAGAACTGTCATAAGTTCCAGGCCAGCCTGGGCTACATAGTATGCTCAAGGCCAGCCTGAACTACACAGTAAGGCTCCATCTCAAAAATCAAAATGAAACAATCCACCAACAAAAAAACAAGGACATGTGCCTGGTGTGCGCTATGGGCTCCATTCTTTAGAACTCCTTTGCAACACCAGGGGAACCACCCAAGCCTGCCTCTTCCTGTCCCTCTAAGCTACTGTGCTGCCCCCTGAACATGATGGCCACAGGCCACCAGGGGCCTTCATTCACCCTGGTCTTGCTTCCCTCCCTCTGACACCTAGTGCTCTCCTCAGCCCCCTGCAGGGCAGGCCTCCAGTGCTGTCTACCTGGACTTCTTCCAAGTCTCATGGATCCTTCTAGAAGTTGGGTAACCAGACTTGCAAGCAACGCCTCAGGCTCGGACAAGCCACGGCTTGAAAGTGCAGGTCACAGAGCCCTGTTCTGTGCCTGGCTGAGCCCCAGCCTCCTCATCTTCCTAGGAAGACCGCCACCATCGTTCCTTTCTGGAGCAGTGCCTGATGGGCTTAACAGACCCTAAACGGCAACTCAAGACTCTGTTCAAAATCAGTGTTATGAGTTTGAGTTGTGTCCCTCAGAATTCATATATTGAAGCTGGACGCAGAGGTATGCACCTGTAAGCCAGGCAATACTCCTGTAATCCTGGCACTCAGGAGGCTGAGGCAGAAGGATTGCTGTGAGTTCAAGGCCAGCCTGGGCTACATAGTAAGATCAGCACCAGCCTGGACTACAGAGGGAGACCCTGTCTGAAAACAACACCAGCAAAAAGCAAAAGTAAGAAGAAGTGTGCATATATAGAAAGGGTGATCACTGGAGCTCAGAATTTGAGGCCAGCCTGGGCAATGGGGTGAGACCCATCTCAGATACATTGATTGAGATCCTGAGCCCCAGTATCTCCAGCTCCCCAGCGCGTGCACACAGCGGTGACTTATTAGAAACTCAGTCTTCACGGATGAAATAAGCTGTGCATTTAGGCAAGGTTGTAGTGAGTCACGGGCCTCTCATCCTGTAGGACCTATGTCCTTCTGAGAAGAGGACTTGCACAGCACAGACACACAGGCACGCGGACAGGCACCACAGAGCAGAGACCACACTGATACTGCCTCCAGCCCCAGTCACAAGGAGCGCATACCCCCAGAGGTCTTCAAACTAAGGCCCAGAGCGAGCCTGCTGCACCCCTCACAGTGGGGTGTGAGGGTGAAGTATGGAGCCAAAACACACGGCAATGAACCTGGCAACTCAGTTGTCCTGTATGATGTCTCTAAGAGGTTATTCAAATTGAAACAGCACAGATATTTCATCCATTCCCAGAATTTACTTTGAGCAACTCTGGTTATCTAAAAAGTACAAACTTGATGTGGTGGCCCATACCTGTAACCTGGGAGGCTGAGGTAGGAGGGTCACCGTGAGTTTGAGGCCAGCCTGGGCAACATAGTGAGTTCAAGACCAGCCTGAACTACATAATGAGACCCTGTCTCAAAAAGACAAACAAAATATAATGGTAATAGCTAGGCATGGTGGTCCACACCTGTCATCCTAGCACTCAGGAGGCTGAGGCAGAAAGAGCACCTGGAATTCAAGGCCAGCCTAGGCTATATAGCAAGACCCTGTCTCAAAAAAAAAATTGTAAATAAATAGTACATTAATTTTCTCAAATAACGTTAGGTCTGTACAGATTGACTTAGGGCTCTCTCAGGAGGGTTACTTCCTTCCTCCACGTGGGAGGCTCAGTATCGAGCCTACCCCACCCACAGCCCTCAGACTGAAAGTGCCAGCTTCACCAAGGAATGAGCCGGCTGTTCCACAGAGGTAAATGGCAGTTAATAGTTAACCTAAGGCTTATCTTTGGCAGCTGTGAATCAAGAACAGGCCTACCTAGGAAAATAACACCATACCGAGGCCTGCTTTCTGAAGCTTCCAGCAAGAGAAACTTTATCTCAGATTTTCATGGGGTTAGTCAATAAGCTCAGATCCTGAGTTCCTGGTGGAAATCTAGGTGGAAAGACCCTCAGCTCCTTCATTATTTCTGTTTATTTTTTGAGACAGGCTCTTGCTATATAGATCAGGCTGGTCTTGAACTCATCATGTAGCCCAGGCTGGCCTCAAACTCCTGGTGATCCACCTGCCTCAGCCTTCTGAGTGCTGGGATTACAGGCAGTTGCCACCACGCCCAGGAACTTTGTTATATCCGAAGCAACCTCAGCCTCAGGAGGCCACCTGCCTGTGCTGTTTAAATCCAGGCATCATTCTCTGTCCCTGCAGAGACCAGCCCCCCACCGTGCTTCCGGGAATGGATATAGCCCACTGAGGTGGATCATCAGGGACACATCAGGGCTTTACAAGATGACCCCTGCATCATGAAGCCCTCTACCCTGCTTGCCCCCGCCCACCCCAAGCACTGGCCCTGGCTACAACATACCGCACATATGAAGCAGGTGTCATGCCAGGTGTGCCCCAGGGCTTCGATGAACTTGTCCCCCGCCTCCACAGGGAAATCGCAGCCATGACACTTGGTGCTGAACAGGTTGACGTAGTCTGGAATAAAGGGCAGAGTGAGGACCAGGTACAGGCCGGCAGGGGCCGTGGAGATATGAGGTGGGGACAAGGTCTCAGTTGGTGTGCTGGCAAGCACGGGACACTGAGCCACTGGCTCACAGACAGAATGGCTCAGTTACGTAACTGGTTCCTTTTTCCGACTTTTCCATAATTTGCACCGATCCTGCGCAGACTCAGGCTGAGCTGCCACCTTGTGCTGGTGGGACTGTAGACACTTTCTGTCTAGATAGTCACCAATTTTTAGTAGAGTGACTGTCCTCTCTGCTTCTGTCACTTCTGAGAGCCTCGGCACATCAACCCCCAAACAGGAAAATGCCAGCACTCTGGAGGCTGAGGCAGGAGGACTGCCACGAGTTCAGGGCCAGCCTGCACTACATATTAAGGTCAAGGCCAGTCTGAACTATACAGTGAGACTTTGTCTCAAAATACCAAAATAAAAAAAAAAAGCAAAACAAAACAATCCCCATTTCCCAACAGCTATGCTTATATGGGGAAAGCAAGAGTCCTTAGGTCGTTAAGAGTTCTAGAAAGTTCTTTGCTGACCATTCTTCCTTTATAGGCATTTGTGTTGACAACAACTTTCTACCACCACAGACAGGGTTTGCGCTCCTTTACTGAGCACCCCGCCCCCAACAAAGGAGATGATACTACTTAATACTGTCTGCATAGCACTTTGCAGTTTGCTAAGCACTTTCACATGAATCATGCTGGGGTTTAAATGTGTTCACCAGTTCATGCATTGGGAAGTTAATTCCTAAGGCAACAGTGCTGGGAGGAGGACCTAATGGGAGGTGTCAAGCTCACAATAATGTCCAGGTCATTATTGAAGGAGTGGGCTCTTCATGGTAGGAGTGTGCCTTGCTTGCTTGCTTGCTTTGGGTTTTTGAGACAGGGTCTCATTATGCAGCTCACATTGGCCTTGAACTTGCAGCAATCTTCCTGCCTCAGCCTCCTTAGTGCTGGGATTACAGGTACATGCCACTATATCTGGTTAAGAGTGGGTTTCTCATAAAAGTGATTTTGGCCCCTCTCGTACTTTCTTTCTCAGGGATTATGCAGTAAGAAGGCCTTGACCAGGTGCAGCCCCTTAACCTTGGACTTCTCAGTAGAGCCCTGAGCCAAATCATTGTCTGTTTGCTGTTGGTCACAGGACTTCGGTGTCCTCATACAGCAGCCCCAGACAGACTATGGCAAGAGGCATCATTACGAGTATCTCATGCCAGAGACCTGTCTTTGTTTCCTTTGTGCAGCACAAAGCCTGGCACAGAATCAGTATTCATCACAGAGGTAGTGAATCAATGAGTGAATCAGTGAGGCAGTGAATGAATGAATGAGTCATGCTTCCTTTTAATCCTCACAGCAGCGCTGTGACAAGGCAATATTCCTACTTGGAGGACGAGGAAATGGCCTGGAGCAGCTCCAGCACGCAAGTCCCACCGAGGGGCTCCAGGCTTGCTGGACACCAGCACTGTTCACCCCACTCCCTGACCGGGTCTCCAGATCCTTACCTATTGCCACTGAGCTTTGGTAACTTCTGTTTATCTCTTGCATATTTTTCAGACCTTTTGTGCTTAGGAGTATTTTGTCATGCAAATTACTTTGTCTATCCCATTCCATCTTCTCTCTGACAGGAGACTGAATTTGTCCAATAGACAGAAGTGTATTGCCTTGCCAGAGCTAAGATGCCACACTGCTGTCTTTAGAAAGTTACAGAATGCTTAGGCTTCACTCTGGGCTGTCCCCCAGCCCATCTCCATGTGAGGAGATTCCACCTCTGATTTCTCTCTCATCATTCCCTGTCAGTCTCCACATCCTCTGGGCTCTCTCACACCTCCATGCCTCTGTATCATGAGGCCCTGGGTTTGGCAATCCCTCCCCACATTATCTACCTGAATTCTGCAATCCTTCGGGTCAAGCCTTCCTACTGGGAAATCCTAATGCCACCTCCTCAAACCAAAAGAGATGAGATGGCCTTACTGAGAGCTTCCCCTAGCCTCCCCTCTTCCTTCCATCCATCCATCCATCCCATGTTCATCCTTCCATCCATTCAACATCAGTAATCCATTAGGTATGCATCAATTACCCATCTATCCTTCCTTCCATCCATTCATCCATGCATCCATCCATCACCAATTCATCCTCCCATCTGTCAATTCATCTTCTTGCCATCACCCACCCATCCATATTTCCATCCATCCATCCATCATTCTTGAATGCCCATGAACATGCCAGTGTAGCCCATGATGGTGGGTTTGTGTGAGGGTTTTGACTGCCATGCCTGCCTCTATGCTCAGTGCTTCCCATAGGAACCAGCATGGAGCACATATTCAATACACATTTGATGTATCAATGATGACAGAAAACAAAGAAATGGCCTCATCTCTGTGCTAAGTACTGATTGATTCCTTCTCATGTCAAGTTTGCATAGATTTAGCTCTTACAGTGGCTTCAAGATATTTCTGAAGTATCTATTTCTTGATTTTTCTATTTTAAACTTGATTTTATACTGACTGGGAGAACTGCCACTTTGTTTTTAAGTCTGGTAGCATAAATCTGACCTTGCCACATTTTGTGAGAGTTGGTATCTGTCTCCATTTGCTTCTGGAAGGTAAAGGCTATGGCCCTGAATTGAGTCTGCATATGTTTCCCAGCAGGAGCACCATCCACCTCCTCATTTATTTATTTCTTCCTCTATTCCTCCTTTAGGCCTTCATAATTTTCTTTGACTAACTCGCTTATGTCCCAGGTGGAGTTAGTACCCTTGCCCTTAATGGATTTTATTGCTATTGTAAAAGGATTTCCATCCATCGAGTCACAGGTGCTCCATGTTGAAAAAGGGCTTAGTGTAGTGCTTCTCAAACATCAGAATTACTTGGGGGGTTTGTTAAAACACGAATCGCCAAACTCCACCCCCAAGTTTCTGATTGACAGAGCTGGGCTGAGGCCCAAAGGGTACTTTTCTAACATGTTTTCAGGCTAAGTTGCTGCTACCAGTCCTGGGGCCACACTTTGAGAACCGGCTGTAATTCTCAGACCTAACTGAGTGTCAAAATCATGGGGCTAGGGCAGCACCCCCTGCGATTCTGCTCCTGTGGTTTGGGATTTATCTTCTCTCTAGTTTTAAAGCTCCCTGGGAAGCTCTGAGGCCTGCCAAGTGTGGTGACTGCTCAGGTGCAGGCTGGAAACTTCAAGGCTGGCCTTCCTATCTGGCTTACTTTTTGTGTCTTACATAAAAGTGGCCATGGATTCTCACAGCCACCTGAAGGCTTTTTGAGGCTAAACTCCATTATTTTGGCTCAAAGTGCAGATTTCACAGGGTTCTCATCTGTGTCTTCCCCTAGTTCGGAGATTAAAAAGGCACCACAGTAAGATAGCACTTCATACTGTTTAGGATGGCTGCTATCTAAAACCTAGAAGGTGACATGTGTTGGTGAGGACACATGGAGTATCTGGAATGCTTACGCCCTGTTGGGATTGTCCTGGGGGCAACCACTGTGGAAAGCTGTGTGGAGGCTCCTCAAAAATCAACAACACAATTTCCATATGATCCAGGAATCCTACTTGAGATATATTTCTACAATAATTGAAAGCAAAGTCTTAGAAAGTACCCACATTTGTAGATGCACTATTAACAATAGGCAAGCATGCCTGTAATCCCAGCACTCAGGAGGCTGAGGCAGGAGGATTGTTGTGAGTTCCAGGTAAGCCTGGGCTACAAAGTGAGCTCAAAGCCAGCCTGAACTGCATAGCAAGACCCTGTCTCAAAAAGACAAAAAAAAGAAAAAAACAATAGGCAAGGGGTAGAACTCAAGAGTTCATGCACACAGACAAATGAATGAACCAAATGGAGTAGATTCTTACAAGCAAGTATCACTTGGCCTTCAAAAGGACAGAAATAAAGAAAGGAGAGAAATTCTGATGTCTGCACTATGATCTGGATGCTTCTTGAGGACATGAGGCTAAATGAAACTCCAGTCACAAAAAGACAAATGCTGTACGATCATGTGAGGTCCTCACACAGCCACACCCATAGAAACAGAATGTAGAATGTGGTTGCCAGGAGGTGGGGAGAGGGGAAAGGGGTAATTACATAACAGATAGAGCACCTCGGATTTGCTAGACAAAAGGCCTCTGGAGATTGGTTTCACAGCAGTGTGAATATACTTAAAATAGTTAACACGGTAAATTTTACAGTATGCTTTTGGGGGACTTTGGTATTTGTTCGTTTGTTTGTTGAGATAGGGTCTCTCTATGCAGTGCTAGCTGGCCTTGAACTTTGTGGTGATCCTCCTGCCTCAGCCTCCTGAGTGCTGGGTCTACAGGCTGTTATTTTAACCTCTGCCTATGCTTCCTGTTGGACCCTGCCTCAGCTCCCTCCTGATATGAGCAGGCTGTGGGTGAGTGAGGGAGTAAATGGCCTGCAAACCAGGACCCCAGCTGTCTTAGGAAGCGCAGCGTCTCTGATCCTTCGGGGCCTCACTGTGCAGTTTAAGATAAGCCGCAGCACTGTGCAGGGAAACTGAGCTCAGACGGTGGGCCGCAGAGTCTGGTACGCAAGGTTGGCTCAGGGGCGCATGCACACACCCTCTCTGGCTCACCCCTCACAGGCGGGAGGCAGGTGTTTACAGATATTCACGGATGAGGGAAGCGGGGCTCTCAGCAGTCTGCTCACTCACTCGCGGCTCACCAGGAATGGCACCAAGGATGAGCGGCTCTGGTCTCCTCCAAGCCTAAGAAACCTGGTAGTTTTCCCAAGCGGGTCTGTGGCCAACTCGTGGCCCACATATTGGAATCAGAAGTCAGCAGAGGTGGAGTGTGTAACGTGAGCTGCAGGCTCTGCCCCCTTGCTCTGGAAGGCTGCAGCCAGCATGGGGCGGGGGGCAGCTCAGTCACCTTCTTTGTGTCATAGCAGTACCACTCTGCCATTAAGGTGAAGCCAGAAGCAAGAGCTGGCTGTAGTGCAGTTGTAGAGAGCTTACCCAGCATGCATGAGGCCTTGGCTTCACTCCTCAGCACCCCAGGTAAAATAAAACACAAAAGGTCTTCTTAGCTGGGCATAGTGGTGCATGCCTGTACTTTTAGCAGTCTGGGAGACTGAGGCAGGAGGATCAAAAGTTAGAGCCCAGCCTGGGCAACTTAGCGATTTAGAGACCCTGTGTCAAAACTAACAAGGGCTGGGGATGTAGCTCAGTGACAAAAGCACCTCTGGGTCCCATCCCCAGTGCTGCCAAAGAAAAAAGAAAACTTCTTCCACCAGGAACAGAGGTCAGGAACAAAGGGCTGTGGACAAGAGTATCCCCCACACTGCAGGCGTCCACACCCCGTCCCAGCCTACCTTTCTCGCAGTAGGGCTCCCCGTCCTCCATGTGGAAGAGGCTGTTCCCGAAAGGCTTCTTGCAGGCCGCGCACACGAAGCAGGTGGTGTGCCACGTCTGTCTCAGAGCATGCATCACTTCCTGGGGACAGGGTGGGGGTGGGGATGGGGGCTGAACTCAGGCCACAGCAGTCCTCACACAGAGGGCGCCCAGGATGGGCAGGGCAGAAGCGCAGGAAGCCATCCTCTCTGCTTAGGAGCAGTTGGTCCTTCCTCTGTGAGCAGCACCAGAGGCTTCCCCATTCCTCACAGGACCCCCAGTCCGGGCACATGGGGTGAAGTGGGGCCAGGGGAGGGGCGCTGTGCTCACCCCCATGATCTTGGCGTTGCACTTGGCGCACAGCGGGGCGAAGAATTGCTCGTAGCACCGCTCGCAGTACACATTGTTCTGCTCTTCCACGAAGCACACGTCTGCCAGTGAGGTCTTGCAGTAGGCACAGTTGAACTCCTCTGGGTGCCAGGAGCGGCCCATGGCCACCAGAAAAGGGCCCCTAGGCCGGAGGAGAACAGCAGTTGCTCAGGTGACCTCATACTCTGAGAATCCCGGCAATGCTCTTACTTTTACCCAGGAGCTCTCGCTTGGGGCCTGTCCTAATGGAATGCTAAAACCTCAGAGATGGCACCATGCAGAAAGGCATTCTTGTCTGACTACTTTCAGTGAAGAGAACCTGGAGCTTGCTGGGCATGGTGGCACACACCTGTCATCCCAGCACTCTGGAGGCTGAGGGCAGAGGATTGCTATAAATTCAAGGCCAGCCTGGGCTACATAGTGAGTTCAAGGCCAACCTGCACTATGTAGTGAGACTATGTCTCAAAAAAAAAACCCCCAAAACTAAAAACAGCAGGGTATGGTGGCACACACCTGTAATCTCAACACTTGGGAGGCTGAGGCAGGGGGATCCCTGAGAATTCAAGGACAATCTGGACTACATAGTGAGTTCAAGGCCAGCCTGAACTACATAGCAAGAACCTGTCTAAAAAACAAAAGCACAAAAAACCAAAAAAATGGAAGCAACTCAATCACTCACTGTAGAGACCTGATAAGTATGTGACAGGATCCAAGGGACCACTGCTAATTACAAGAACAGGGACAGTGGGACTGATGCTAATATGCATTAAGTGCTTCCTCCAGGCCCAGCACAATACAAGGGTAGATTTGCATTTACTAACTTTACTTAATCCTTGCAATGATCCTATGGGGTAGGTAACTCCTGGAAAGCCTCACGGCCAGGAAATGGTAGACCCAGGACACAAAACCCAAGTCTAGCTCCAGATTAGAACTCAGGGCCACAAGGGAGGCTTTTTTGGGTTTGTTTATTTTTTAATTTGTTTGTAGTACTGGGGACTCAACCCAGGGCCTTCCCACTTTCCCACCTTCCCATCCCTAGCCAGTTTTACTTTTCATTTTGTTCTGTTCTTTTGTTTTTTGAGACAGGGTCTTACTGTGTAGTCCAGGCTGGCCTTGAACTCACTGTGCAGCCCAGGCTGACCTTGAACTTGTGGTGATTCTCCTGCCTCAGCCTCTTGAGTGCTGGGATTATGGGAAGGGATGCACCACCATGCCCAGCATTTATTTTTAATTTTGAGATGGTTCTCACTGAGTTATTAAATTGCCCAGCCTGGGCTAGAATTTGCACTCCTCCGGCATCAGCCCCTCAAGGTGCTAGGTTTACAAATCTGCACCACCTCCACCAGGAAGTTTGTTATGTTTTAATTTTTACTTTTCCATATTTTCTAATTCTTCTCTAATAAGGATGGTTACTCTATTCTTAAACGAGTGTATCTGTCATATACATAAGCTCACACACACACACATTTTCATATTCAAGCCAGCACCATCCAGAGCCCTGCTTCCCAGTGTGAAGTTACTCGTCCCCATGCCAGGGCAGTGCCCACTCTAGCCCTGGGTGGCACAGGCCTGTCTTTGGAAACAACCCCAAAGCAAAGCCAGGTGAACAGCACCACAGTCAGCCGGCTTTCGACATGCCCAATAAACCCACTGCGACAACCGGTCGGTTCCCAGAGCCAGGCCCTGGCCCACGGGGAGCTGCGGGCACAGCACCTACTTGCCTCATGGCACCCCCAGCCCTGGGGACACAGGTGTCACACAAGGATAGGGCTGTGGCTCGGAGAAGGGCAGGCCCAACCCGACGGATGGCGGCCACAGGGCCCTGAGGCTGCCTACACCCTCCTCACCCACAGCAGGGCTGAGCAGGGGACACCTAGTGCCCACCCTCCTGATTCCAGGGGACCCTACCGGATGACACTGTTGCAGTGGCCACACAGTGGAGTTCGGCTACTGGCTGGGAAGCGCTCCGCTCTCTGCACTGTGCCCCTGGCCGGGGCTGGAGGAGTTGCTGGAGTGTAGCCTGGGGCTCCCCGGGGCAGGGTCTGCTTGCTGATAGATGTGGTACTCTTGCTGGGGGCGAACTTCTGAGAAAAGTTGTCATCTGTCACCCAAGGTGGGCGGCTGGCAGACTCCGCTGGGCCCCCGCTGTAGGCCGGCGAGGGTGCAGGGTTATAGTTGGGAGCAGGGGACGGAGTGTAGGCAGGAGCAGGGGAAGGGGTGTAGGTGGGGGCAGGGG